TGGTGGGTTGGTTGAGTATGCGTGTGAGAAGGGTCTGAGGCCCTGGGTCTACAGAGAGGGTGGTTGGAGCAGAGAACTGAGATGAAGAGGAGCCGGTTGGATGGGAGATGGGAGGGGAACCGAGAGTTGAGTTCCAGGAGTCTATTCGTATCCAGTGCAGTTTCCAGCAGGTGGCTGGATATGGAGCCATCTTCAAACCCTGCTTCACAGAGAGGGTCCCCCTGTCTCTAGGAGCTGTGTGGGCTCCAGAGGTCCAGTGGTGAACAAGACAGAGTCGTCTTTGCCTACATGGAGATGTACAGTCACTATACCCGTTTTACAGCCAAGCAAGCTGAAGCTCTGAGAGATTAAGTGACAGGGCGAAGATCATAGAGGCAAGAGCAGGGTTGTCAGAACACAGACACTAGTCATCCTGGTCTCTAGACTATCCCAGCCCGCATTCTGGAACTGCAGATTTAGAAAGCATAGAGGCAGCTCTACATAGAAGAGAACGATTTGCGGAGACCGAAGACAACTTTTGGCCGATGTTTAATCTCCACAAAGGAGCAGCTTCCTGACCCTGGGCTGGGCAGACAATGTGCTGGAGGTGGAGGGTCCTCACCATCTGCAGCTGGGGTGGCCAGGACTGCGGATGCCTTCTGGCAGTTGCGGGGATGTCACTCATCCTCGTCACTCATCTTCAGCATTTGACCAGTGTCTGTGCGGTGCACGTCCCCGTCCACCTCTCTGACCCTGTGAGGAGGCTTTGTTGTCCAGCACTTCCATCTGCTCTCTGTAATGAGCCCCTCTCCTCTATGGGGAGCTTTGGGCAGGAGAGGTGGTAGAGCTATCCTTCTGTGGCAGATGAGGAAGCTGAGGCACATGAAGGTTAAGTCGTTTGCCCGACATCGCACAGCAGGGCTGGGCTGGCATCCCGGCCTCTCAGCCCCTGCTCCAGTGTTCTTCCCCACATGCTTTAACTGCCTCTGGGGCAAGAAGTGAGATCCCGCCCTCTGAGACCCCTGGACTGACTGACTGCCCTCCCATCTTGTGTTTCACAGAGTCTTCTCCTGGTGGACATGGGACCCAGGTCAACGTCACCTGCATCGTGAACGTCTGCAGCAGCTCTGACCATGGCTCACAGTGCTCCTCCCAGGCCAGTTGCACAATGGGGGACATGGACACCAGGCCCTCGGGCTCCCCAAAGGAGGAGCAGGTCCCTTTCTCCAAGGAGGAGCACCCCTTTCAGTCTCAGCCAGGGACTCCAGAGACTCTGCTGCAGAGCGCTGAGGAGAAGCCCCTGCCCCTCGGTGTGCCTGATGCTGGCATGAAGCCCAGTCACCAGGCTGGTGTGTGCTATGTCCCAGCCAGAGCAGGGCCTGAGCCCTGGCTGAGTAACCCTGCCCTGGAGAGGAGCCCCTGGTCCTCCTAGGCCCCTACTCCAGGACTCTTTCTGGGCCCAGTTTCTTTAGTGGTCTCCACAGCCCCAGCTTCCCTCTCATCTGCAGGCCGAGGGACAAAGGAAACTTTTAATGTCATGGTCTGTGTCCCTCTCAGAGGGCTGGCTTGGCATGGACATGCAGGGTGGCATGAGGCAGGTCCCTGCCTCTCTTTGACCTGCCCCCCTAGCTGGACTTGTGAGCTTGGGCTGGAGCTGGACAGACGGAGGGCTTTTGGGCCTGCCTTGGACCCTGCTCTGACTTCAGGAGGCCTCAGCATCCTCCCCTCCAGAGAGGCTTGCTGGGGAGGAGGGACACCATGTGAGTCGTTCCTGGAGGAAGGACCTGCCCGAATGCGGAGACTGCAGGATGGTCCTAGTGGGATTGGGGGCAGGGAAGACATTGTTGAAATGTCTCTGTGCAGAGAGGAGGTGGCAACTCTGCAGGGAATGAGGATCCCTCAAGATGGCCCAGGACTCCTGGGAAGCACCACCTCTAGACCCTACTCTGCGAGCCTGTGTTCTTATACCATGGTGTGAAAATCAGATGTCTGGGGGACCCAGGCTGGCAGCTTTATCTGGTGTTGTGGCAGACCTCTAGCTAGAACTCCCGATTTAAACATTTGACAATTAAAAATGAGTGCGTACCATGCAGGCAAACAAGCCAGCCCTGAGACCCACGCACTCACAGCCCCTTGCTTGCTGTCTGCGTCCTCTGCTTTGACCTTCACTCCAGTGTACCCGAGCCTCCAGCTCCTGCCTCAGCTGTCTAGTGTGGCACTCCAAGGCCAGACCGTCTCCTATCAGGGAATTTCAGAAATTGGAGATGACCGAGGCCCTGCAGCCATCTCTTTCCTCCTACCTCAACCTGGACCTTCCTCCTGCCTCTGGAGGGGTATGTTCCTATTCCCAGGGGAGCTGCGGAGCCACCTCAGTACTGTGCCTGCTGTAATCCTGAGTGGGTGTCTATGTCATGTGTTGTGTTGTCAGGCTGAATCACCACCCTTGACGCAGCCGAAGTCAACAGTTTTGCCCAGGGATTCTGACCCAGTGGGGTCAACCCATTCTCCCCAAACACACACCCAGGGTCCTGCAGAGGGCAAACAAGTATGGCCTTGACCTGATTCTAGGAGAGGGTCTTGAGAGGCCAGTTCGGTCTCAGGTACTTGAATCCCATGCTGGTAAATTTCATGGACTTGAAGTTGGCAGCTGAACTACTGAAGAAGAGTCAGTGAGCCCAGCCACCAGCACAGAGGTGAAAGGCTTCCCATCCTGGAATCAAGATGTCTGCTTGGACTGGTCCCGTCTCTGTTGGGCCCTGCCCAGCAATGGAACACATCTGCCCCCTGGTGGGAAGTCTTAGCAGGACTCCGGCTTCCTTGGCAGAGGCCAAGCAGCAAGGAAGGAACAAATTGGAAAGACTTATTCTGGGTGTGGCCTCAGTTCCTAGCTAGTGTTGATGCCAAGACAGTGGGAGTT